GGTCCCGCCGTCACCTGCAGGCCCTCTTGTCAGTAAAAACAAACATACTCATGGTGGGAGGGGGCTGTCGATGCCGAGACGCGTGAAGTTTTGTGGTCGCGTTTCCTCCTGATGAACAGCATTACTGTTTTTCCTATGCTGCCCTCCTTTTAGGGGCTCCGTCGCACCAAGGTCAGGTCGGCTCACCTCGGAGAAAGCAGTTAAATGTTTCTGCCAATTCAGACTTCGGGGAGAGCTCCGTCAGCCTCTCTTATCGGTAAACCATCCCCACTCTTGGGCGGAGCCAGCAGGCGCAGAGGCTGCTGGTAACCCCTTTTCCACGCGATCAGGGCCCTCATTTTCAGCTCTGGGCGCTTGCCGCCATGCCTTTCGACGGTGGTGGCCGCTAGCCGTGAGAAGGTGTTAACCCTCGCTTATAAGTAAGCCTTGTTCGGATCCAGCAGGTGCAGAGGCTACTGAATGCTGTGTTCCGCCGCCTCCAGGGCCTGGACGAACCCTGGATACTTTCCCCGGGGATCTCGAATCTCTTGTGGCTTCCGCCTCTCGTTTTTTTTTTTTTTTTTTGTTCCTGGGCAGGCCGGCGCTTACCCCATGGTGCGATCCGTCCTGCTTGGGCCCGCGGAAGTGCGGTTGGCGGCCCCCCCATCAAAGCGCGAGAGGTTGCCTCGCAGCTTCAGGCGTGGTCGCCGTCCTCGCCTGTTGAAGCAATTAAACGATTGAGGAATAAAAGAAGGAAGTGCTTTCCTGGACGGCAGCTTGCGTGACCCTGCCGTGTCGACGGCCCAGCAGGGCCTTGGCTGTGTGTGTTCAGGCTATAGAAGTAACTTCAAGGCTGACGCCTGCTATGCGGGCTGCTTGTAGCACCCTGGTGCGAGCATCGATTGTTTAGAGCTCTGGGCCTCTCTGCAGGGTCTGCGTTTTTGCCTCTTGGAACCGTCTTCAACAGTGACTCAGGCTACGTCGTTGATGGGGTGCTTGAGCGAGGTGTTGCCAGGACGTGTTCGTCAAAACTGGCATGGGCAGAGATTTGGCCCATGGTGTGGCAAGAAATCGAGGACTGGTGGGGGGAGGCTCCCCAGTTGGTCAAGGCCAAGGGTCACGCCACGCGCGCCGCAGTCGAGGCAGACAGGAGCGAGTCCTTTCACAAGGTGGGCAACGATCTCGCCGACGAGGGCGCCAAGCAAACCTTGGATTTCTCTCGCCTCCCTTCTCAGCTCAGGACACAGTGCGAGAGTGAGGCCGCTTCTGTAAGCGAGTCTGCCACCTGGGTGGCTTAAGTCGGGCCCGCCATGGTCGCGTCCGATCAGCAGGCGAGCCGCGAAGCCTCACGCGTCTCTGTTGATCTTCCGCCCCCGCCGCCCAGCACTGCGCGTTCGTTGCTGCAGGCTGACCCTACTTGCAGCCGTGTGGCGCTGGCACAGGGGCGGTCTCATGCGGCGCCGCACCGTGGAGGCGGTTTACCGCAAGACATACTACGTCCCTGAGGCCGACCAAGGGAAGTACACCGGCAGAGGGAAGCCATACATGTTCGTGGTTCAGGATCAGCGAGAGTTTGGAGAGAAAGGGTCCACTACAGCATGTGAGCTGCGAGCTGGTGGTGCAGGATGGCGATGGTAGCTTACGACACGCAGCAAGGACGAAAGGACGGGCTCACCCAGCCAGTGTTGCAAGAGGCTAGTGATGGAAGGAGTGCCCAGGGCAGGGAGACAAACATCACGGCCAGCACGTTGACTCGGATTGAACAGGACCCCGAGCGAAGCTCTGGTGTATTGTATCATGTGCCGGGTTGCGTATTTGTGTAGCTCGATGTCGTTTTTGTGCGTGGTCTGGCGTTGTGGGATGCTCTTCGCGATGCCGCAGCGCGTGGTCGGACTCCGATTCGCTTGGACCTCGTTATAGCGACATCCATTTTTGGCGTTTTTTTGTTGTTGTTTTGTGTGTGTGTGTGTTTGTGTGTGTTTGTGTGTGTGTGTGTGTGTGTGTGTGTGTGTGTTTGTGTGTGTGTGTGTGTGTTTTGTGTTTTATGAGTATGTATTAGCAATACATATAGTATATATAATTTGTACATTGGGGTGCATTTAACACCCATTGTGAAGCCCGTGCGATAGTCCGTTCGGGGCGCGGAAGGCCCGCGAAGTCAACGTTGCATGGGATGGCTGCGTGGCGCTTTGGACGATGGCGCGGCTTCTGATTACCGCGTATGCTTTGGTTCAATCAGGCTCTCTCGCTCCCAGTGTTCCTCTTGCGCACTTACTTTCTCCTCGTTCTTGGTCCTCCCCTCTCGCCCTCGCGAGTGCTGGTGTCTCCGCGGATGCGGTGCGCTCAGGCATGGTGCCTCGAAGTCGTCGTCGTCGTCGTCGTCGTCGTCGTCGTCGTCGTCGTCGTCGTCGTCGTCGTCGTCGTCGTCCCTTCCGCGATGAAGGAGGAGGTGACGCGGTCCTGTGGCGCCCGGGGTGCGTTGCGAGGTTTCCCCGCCAGCGGCGGTGCCAACGCGGTGCTGGCCCGCGTGGGCGGGGTGCCTCGAAGTGGTGGTGGTCGTTGTCGTCTTCAACGTCGCGTCCGTCTCCTGCGCCCTTGTCGTCGTCGTCGGGGTCGTCGTCGGGGTCGTCGTCGTCGTCGTCGTCGTCGTCGTCGTCGTCGTCGTCGTCGTCGTCGTCGTCGTCGTCCTCCTCTCTGTGCCCGCGCGTCGGGGCGAAGGACCCCCCTGTGCTTGCTGCTGCGGCGTGGGAGACCGGTTCGCCGGATTGTTTTCGGGGGGGCAGCTCCTGTCGGGCGAGCGGGCATTTTTATTTTTTTGGGGCCGCCTTCTTGGTCAGGGCGCACTCGTGCGCGCGCCTCGGAACCCCGCGCCGCGCGCCCAGACTCCTACCCCAGCTCCTCCTCCTCCTCCGCTTCGTTCCCCTCCCTATCGTCGCTGTTTTTTAATTTGCTTCGTGTTGTCCTAGTCGCACTTCGCTCCTTCGTCTTCGTCGTCGCCCTTTTCCTTGTCCTCGTCGTCCGCCCCGCCCCCTCCCCCTCGTCGCCCCCTCCTCGTGCGCCCCGCCCCTTCGGCGCCGGCCCCTTCCAAGTCCTCTTGGGTTGGTTTGGTGTTCCTCGTCGCGCCCCCCCCCGTCAGGTTCCCCTTTTGCTCGTCTATCTGTTCCGCGCCCATTTGCGTCCTTTTCCTGCGTGGTTTCTCTGGCCTCCCGCAGATTTTTCTTTTTCTCCGTGCCGCTTCCTGCTTCCTGCCCCCGTTCCCGTTTTTCGCTTTCGCATTCCTCTTTTTGTCCGTCTCTTTGTCAGCCCCCCAATGGCGCCCGTCGCTCTCCCGTCCACGGCCCCGCCTCCTTCGAACGTGAATGTTTGGGGCCCCAGGGCGACTCGTGCAATGTCGGGGCTGTCGTGTCTTCGCGCGCGCGGGCTGCCGTCGGTCGTTGGCGTCCTTCTGTTCCGTTTCGTGCCCGTGTTGGTTCACCGCCCTTCTTATGGTGAAGGGGGGGAGTGTCGCGCAGCCTCGGCGCGCCGGTGGTGCGCTGCGTCGCGTCCCCGCAAGCTGCAGCTCCTGGTCTGCCATGGTGCGCGCGGGCGGGCTATCTCGAACTGGTCGTTGTCGTTGTCGTTGTCGTCGTCGTCGTCGTTTTCGTCGTCGTCGACGTCATCTTCGCATCCGCGTCCGTGCAGACGTGGGTTAATTGCCCCCCCAGCACTTCGTCGCGACATTGCGCGTTTGATTCGCTTCTTTCAGATTTCAAGGGGAAACCGCGTTTGCGCGCATGCTCTTGGGGGCAGTTTCGCCCGACGTTTGCGCGGGGTGCTGTGGAGAAAGCGTCTGGGATATCGAGACGCGAGACGTCGACGCGCTGGGCGGCATAGTGGAACAGGCAAACCGAGAGGCGAAAAAATCACTGTGAGCGGACCTAGGAAAATGATCCCAAAACCGCGGGCTGTGGATCGCCAGCGCGGAGGAGGAGGCGCCGGGAACGCTGCGCACTATCGCCAAACCACAGCGGAGACGTGAGGGCGGGCATTTCAGGAAAAGGCCAACAAACATCAAACCATTTGGAGAGCGTGGGCCCGAATACGGAGGATTCCCAGGCTCCTGTGGAGCGACGACCAAACGCGCGAGGAGGCAAATGAGGTCCTGCGAGCATTCACAAGCGACGCGAGGGAAACAAATGCATCGACTTGGTCGCTGGGCGAGTGCGACGAGGCCGTGCGAGGGGTGCCAAACAGAGGCAATGGCGCGAACGCGGTGAATATAGAGGACGCGCGAAGGCCACCCAAAAACGGCACGGAGGAGTTCGTGCGGATGTACAGCGTCTGCGAGGAGAGGAAAGCGCTGCCCTGGCAGGCGCTGCAGGGGTGCGGGGTGCTTCAGCCGAAAGACGCAGCGCAGCAATACACATTCGCACTTGCTGGAGGCGGTGATCGTGTTCTGGCCCTGTTAACATGATTCGCGAAGATTTGTGAGCTGCCCAGCAGAGAACAGGTGCCCAGCAATGCACATTCGCACTTGCCCGGCACAAGGCGTCGAGGTGGACTTCGACGCGGCGGTCGCGGGCCACCTGTGCCTAAGGGGAGCTGTGGCGAGAGCGCTTGGGGGCGAAACCTCGTTGGATCTGGGAGCGCATTCGGTGAGTGCGTTGGCGGTCGTCGACGGCTTCTACGATTCGCTGGCGTTTCGAAAGTTGCCGCAAGAACGGCGCGGCGCGGGTCCCCACCGAGAGCCCTATGCTGCGCCACCTCGCGCAGAGGAGGCCCGAGGAGACGAGCGCGCGCGGCGGGCCGTTGCGTGCTATGGGGGGCCCGCTGGCGGGGCCCAGACACGGCGACAACCTGGCCAGAATGCAAGTGCACCATGCGGCGAAGCAGCGGCGCAGCAACGCGCATGATGTACAATGACGGACGTGGTTTGGTGACGTCGGGATCAGAGCAGTGGGTGGCGTGCAAGTGGCGAAGAAGTGGTGCGGGGGGGCGATCGTGCAGGCCGCGTGGAGATTGACGGCCGATCTGAAGTCAGACGGGCCTACCATCCGCTGGAAAGTCAGCCTCGCTCAGCGCCGGCGGCGGCTTGGCGTGGGCAGCGGTGGGGGGGCTTACTGCTGAGGGGGTGACGGCCGAACCGCTGTCGGAGAGGGCGAGATGCAGGGCTCGATGGAGGGGGGCGAACGCGCGCGCGACGGACCGCTCGCGTAGCAGGGAATAATAGAGGGCCCGCATCATTCAGCGCCATGGCGAAGGGGCTCAAGACAGCCAAATTCGGCGCCCAGGCCTACGTCGTTGCGCCTGTCCAGTTGACGAGGTATGGGAAATGTGCGCGGCGCGGGGGCGTCGACGGGCCGGGTTCGGTAGATGTCTTGCCGCCCTGCTCGACTTGGCGGGGGTGGGGCCCCAGGGTGGCTCCACCGCGAGCAGCGAGGCCAAAATCGTTTATGTTCGGCCCGTGGGATGCCCGATCCGGTCTGCGAGCGGGGGCGACGCGAGCGTTGCCGAAAGAACGAGAGAGGCTGCGTGAAACGCCGAGAACAGCAAAGCGGCACCAGAGAAGAGGGTGCTGATCACTGCTGGTCCATCCGTGGGCGATCAGACGCGGGGCGCAACTCACTCAGAGTGCTGGGCCGACGCGAGCGGGGGTGATGGCAGTGCTGGCGGCGGACGGGGGTCCAGTGGATTTGCTCGGCGCCGTCTCGGGCGACCCGCAGGGGGGTGGATATGGGGGTCGGCCCGCAGGCGCCGCGATGGAGCTGTGTTGGAGGTCGGGGCAGACGCGCGCGACCTGAAGTGCCGCGTGAAAGGGCTGTGCAGAGGAGGGCAACATCATGGGTTCTACTTGAGGCTGCGCGTGCAGGAAAGTGGTCGCCCCGTCGGAGGAGCGGCCCCCGCGGCGCCGACGCGTCCAACTTACGTCAAGGCGGAGCCATGTATGACTATTTTCACATCTTGTTGGGGAGATGCAGCTGCGTGACTGGTAGTGCGATGTGCAGCCCGGCGGAGGAGCGCGCGGTGCTGCGAGTGGTGCCAGGGAAGGTAGATTCTGTGAAATTCTGGCCTAGAGCTATCGCGCCGAGAGTCTGGTCATGCCCGCCGCCGTGCTCGACCGAGTTCTCTGCTGCGAGATCGTGGAGAGCAGAGGGCGCCGACGCAGGGGGGGGGCGACGGCGGCGAGCTGGCGTCGAGGTCGGGCGAGTGCGTAGCCGCGTGCGGAGTCGGTAGTGGGCGAGGCCAGGGTGCGTCAGATGCAGGCGGCGTGGCTGGCGCTGGGCGCTCGTGGGGCAGGTGCAGGCCCAGTGGGCGGTCGCGGCTGAGGCAGTGGGGCCGCTTCCGGGGCCGCGACGGTCGAGCGGCAGGGCAGAGGCCTCGGCCTTCCTCGACGCGTAAGAGGCGATCATCGGCGACGCGGGCCCCCGGGCAGATTCCGAGACTCTGCAGAGGACGTCGCGCGGAGCGATGCGTGATTGGAATCTTCAGACGTGGGCGCGGATGCATTTTTTCCGCGGGGGGGCGGGGGTGGGGGGCGGGGGCAATGCGGCGGATGCGCGGACGTGCGGAGATGACAGTCAGACGCGTGGGGGGCCATGTGGGCGTCGAGGATGCACCGCGCAGGGGGGTGCCGTTGGCCGCCTGGCGCGGGCGTTGGGGGGCGGGCGTCCTGGCTGGAGAGGCAGCGAGTGCATGTCGTATATCAGAAGCAGAGATGGGGTGCCGCGAGTGGGAGAGAGCAACGGCGGCGTTTGCGACACAGGGATCGCGCAGGCGCGCGTTGAGCTGTTCGAACGAGTCATGCCCATGACGTGGGAGGGGAATGACGAATCACGACATGACATGCTCCGATGCATTCAGACAAGACGAGGGCGGTTGATGAATCCATCGGGGAGGTTATCGAGAGGCCCCCGCGCCAGCTGGCATTTGTGGGCGGCCAATGGAGTTGTCAAATATGCGAGCGGACCAGCGGCAACAGGCAAATGGGGTCCTACGATCAAGTGGTGCTGCCGTGAGGGCCAGGCGGCGGGGCGGGGCTCCGCGGGGCCGGTTCCGAAAGCGAAGATATCGCCGACGTCGGGGCAACGGGGTTCGCGTTGAAAGGCAAGCTGTCGCAGCCCTCGCGCGCGATCTGCTGGCCCAGAAACGTCCAGAGGCGCTGCTGGTGGGAGTCTGGGGCGACTGCGGAGGAGCGCCCGATCGGCAATTTTAGGTATTGCAGGGGTGTGCGGGTCGCCTGCAGATGCGCCGTGAAAGCGAGAGAATGAAGGCGGAGTTGGCGCCTGGTGCAGCGAGGCCAACGCCGTGATCGCGCTGGGAGGTCGGGGTCTACTGCTACCAGGGCTGCGCCGCAGCCGTGGAGTGCGGCTACGGCGACTTGTGCGAACGCGCCCACGAGTTCGCCGTCGTCGCCTGCCGTGCGTATTCCAAGGGCTGGCTTTGAGTGAGCGAGGCTGCGCCACGGCCGCCCGCCTGCCAACCTTTGGTCGAGTGACCTCTGGCAGAATTCGGACAATTCCATCCGTTGCGCCTGGCTGGGGG